CTTTGTGGGCAAGCGCTGCCACTGCAGAGCCATGCCCTTCACCCCTGGATCCTAGAGGTAAGCAGGGCTTGGGGGCCGAAGGAGCAGGGGGTGCTGCTGGCCCCAGGTGGCACATCGCAGCTGGGAGCAGAGCCAGGGGGTGAGGGCAGGGGTGCCACTCTGCAAGGGGCTTTGCAGGCAAGTGATATGGGGGGCAGTGTGGTGCTGCCCGTGATGTGCAGGCCACATTCTGCCCAGCTGGCTGCCCAGGGCAGGGAGAGGGAGGCTGGCATGCAGCCAGAGCACAGCTCTGTGACCAATGCTGCAGCCACAGCGAGGGATGGACAAGCGAGGGTGGGCTGGGGCTTGCACACAGCGGCCACTGCCACTTACTCGGAGGGCCGTGATGGCAGTGATGGCTGCTGCCTCCAAAACCTCCCACTGCCACTGCAGAGCTGTACCTGGAGCTGTGTGACTGGCAGCAGCGGCATGGCGAGGGGTGGTGGTGGCCAGGCAGCATGCAGCCATTCCCAGCCTCACCACTGCGCTGCTGCCACTGGCTACACAGCTCCAAGCATGGCTCCACGGCAGCAGCAGGAGGTTGTGGAGGCAGTGGCCATCACCCCTGCTATGGAAGCCGCTGCCACTTGCCTGTGGGGCTGCCAGTGCCAGTGGTGATAGCCACCACGTACAAAACCTCCTGCTGCTGCTGCTGCTACGGAGCTGTACAGCCAGCCACCAGGCAGCAGCAGCAGCATGCTGGTGGCCGGGCAGCACGCAACCATTCCCAGCCCCACCGCCATGCTGCACTACTGCCGCTGGCCACAGCTCCAAGCATGGCTCTGCGGCAGCAGTGAGAGTTTTTGGAAGCAGCGGCTGTCACCGCCATCACGGCCCTCCAAGTGGCAGCAGCCACTGCATGCAAGCCCCAGCCCCCACCCCTTGCCATGGCTGCAGCAGCCACAGAGCTGTGCTCTGGCCACATGCCAGCCACCCTCTCCCCCGGGCAGATGGCCAGGCGATGTGTGTAGCCCGCACATGGTGGGCACTGCCACACTGCAGCCCACATCGCTTTCCCACAAAGCCCCTTGCAGAGGGGCACCCCTGCCCTCACCCCTGGCCCTGCTCACAGCTGCAATGTGCCACCTGGGGCCAGCAGCACCCCCTGCTCCCTCAGCCCCCAACCATCTTCTCCAGCCCTGCCCCACAGCCCCACTTACCTCCATGCTCCAGGGGTGAAGGGCGAGCCTGAGTCTGGCCTTGGCTGCCTCAGAGGCTCAGGCTCTGCCCTCCCCCACTCCAGGCAGGGCTTGGGGTTTCCTGCCCTTTTTCCAATTGGCTCTTGTAGGTTGGAGTTGTGCCAGCCTGCAAGAGCTCTTTGCAGAAGCGGAGAATCTGCAGATTTCTCTGCTAAAAAGAGAAATCTGCATTTTCTCCAATAAAAACAAGGAATCTGGTTTTATCTGTTTTTCCATGGGAAATGGAAAACTCAGATCCCTGCTAATGAGGCCTCCACCTCCCCTTATAGCAGGGGCAGGCAGTTATTTTGGGCAGAGGGCCGCTTAATGAGTTTTGGCAAGCCATCGAGGGCTGCATGACAGGCAGCCCAGGGCAGATAAATATTAATTTTTTTAGGGGCCCTGCAGGCCAGATAGAATGGTCTGGTGGGCCGCATCCGGCTCCAGGGCTGCATTTTGCCCACTCCTGCCTTATAGCCTCGTCCCTCACCAGTGCAAATGACAACATAAACATAAGCCCCTGGGCTATAACGTAACAATAATGATGGAGAGCACACTCTGCCCCTTTAGGAAGGCAAACTTCTCCCCTACTGTTGTGTGCCCGCTAGCCCTGGGTACCTTATTTGCTCCTGGAGCCCCATTAGTCTTGCAGGCAGCAGATCAGGCAACCAAACATCACTGGGTGGCTCTTCTATACAGGCACACCTTCTCCTAGCAGCTGCCAGAGAACTAACTCCTGCTAGCCCAGCCCTGGGGCTTATATGTGCCTAGGGCCCTGCCTCCTTCCGGTCAGCTGACTGTGTGCAGGTGCCAGCTAATTCCCTCATTAGCCTGCTGCCTGGGCAACCTGCAGCTGTGGAGCTCTGCCTAGCTTGCAGGGCTCTCTGGCTAGGCTGCTTCGGCCCTTAAAGGAGCAGACATGCCTTAGTGCCCTGTGACACCTGCAACTCCATCACCTGCTTACAGTGCCCCTTTGCTGTCTACATTGGACAGACCAGCTGATCCCTGCTTTACAGAATGAACAAACATTGCTCTGATATCAGCTGCATGTCCTTTTGCAGAATCTGATGAAGTAAGCTTTGACTCATGGAAGTTTGTGCTATATATCTGTATCTACTCTGGTTAGTTTATAAAGTGCAAACCTACCTTGCCTTCTACTTGACTTTAGATTAGCACAGCTAACTATCTCTCTCTGCCCATAGATAAGGGGAATGCAGCAGATCTAATCTATATAGAGTTAAACTATGCATTTGATGCTGTCCCCCATAGAACATTATTAGCTAAACTAAAGAAGATGGGGATTGATACTATAATCATAAAGGGGACGAAGGGTTTGCAAAAAGAGAAACCCTTTTAGTAATTTATCATAGTGGTGCCAAACCTTTTTGCCCAGTGGGCTGGATGGACGATGCTCAGGCTCTCTGTGGGCTGGATATGGCTGATGGTCCCAATCCAGCACAGGGTGGCCGTGGCAGGGCTCCATCTAGTGGCATGGAGGTGGACAGGGGGCATCTCATCTCCAACCTGGCCTTGTAGGGAGGGGGGCAGGAAGAGGGAGGGAGCATGGCCCAGCCCCATGGGGGAAAGGCACATAGCCCAGCCCTATCCTGGCCCCATGTGGGGAGGGAGGTGCGGGGAGCATGACCTGGTCCCAACATGCTGCAGGGGCTTTGGGGTTTAGGAATTGAAATAGCTTTGACTTTGGTACCAGATTAAAAAGCTGTATCTGCATGCAAGAAGCAGTTTGTAGTGCACATGTGTTTTTGTCCCACAAAACCCAGGGAGAGTGACATGTATTCTAGTGTGCCATCTACTGGCACCTTTTGAGTTAACCATTTCCCTGTACACATAGAGCACTCCTATAACACTGCTTAAGCTAAACTTCCCAAAGTCTTAGCTGCTTTTCCTTAACTAGATTTTATTTGGTTACTTTCTGCCCAAATCTAATTTGTCTGGGTTCTGTTGTTAAGCATAAGTGCATTATTTGTAACTAGGGTAGATTTGCTGTGACCAGCTTACAAGTTTCTTTATTCATTCTCCACAAAGAATCAGACAGAGAGCTGTTTCGTTCTGATCTCAAGGATCCGGAGAGAAAGGCAGGTGTCATGGGCACTTGGGCATTTGCTTGTGGTGGGCTCATGTAGCCAGTGTATGAGCACCTGGTGGGGTTGAGAGTCTCCAGCAACAAAGGAGAATCATGCACATCTGACTGAGGTGCCAGACACCCCAAAGGACTAGTGAATGTCTGAAGCAGTAGCCACAGGGTGTGTCTACACGAGATGCTAACTGCACGGTAGCCTAATAACACTGTACAGTAGCGTGCTGGGCAAAAACCGTGCTAGGCTACTGCACAGTTAACGTCAGAGAAAACCTGTGTGTTGGCGCTACTGTGCATTGATCTAATACTTGGTTATCCAAGTACTAAACTTAATGCACAGTAACTACAGCACATTAATGAACATGTAGATACACCCACAGTGAATAGTCTCTTTGGAGCCCATAGGCTGGAACGTGCCCATGTAAATCCCTTAGTGCCTGTGGACAGTTCACTGAGGAATAGGATCTTGTCAATGGGTTGGGTTTTGGGCCCTGTTTTTGAGGAACATAGAGCTGCAGTTACTCCCAAACTCTACTTCTGAGCATGATTTGCCACCTCAGGCAACCTCCCATTTAGGTTGTCCCCAATAAGTTCTTCACATGCGCACACACCCATAACACACCCACACACACAAACCTTGTGGACTCTTGATTTACAATGGAGCTGATTCTGCTGTTTAGCCCAGCACATGGAAAGTATTGCCAGAAGCATTATGTGACTACAAATTATTGTTATTTTCAATCACTAGTAATCAAAAAGGGCTGTACATATTTTTCTTTCAAGTTAGAAAAAAAGACCTGCAGCCTATTGGTATTGCTGTGAAGCCAGGAAGGCATCACACCCACAGTCCATGATTTTAGAAAGGTTTGAGTGAAAACAGGTGCTTAGAACAGCAATTTGGTTTCCACCTTAACTCTAGCTTTGACTATTCATTAACTCAGAAGGTTAAACAGACTGTGAATATGGGGTCAGGAAGGGTTCCCTTAGGATATGTTGGCAGAACCTTGTGACTTTCACTGTATTATTTGTTGTTCCCTGTTTTGTGGCAGAATCAAGGTGCCAGGGGAATTGGGACCCTAGTGGGTTAGGATTATTACCACTTACACTTTATTTTTTTGACTGCAGGATCTGAAGAGGGGATCCAAGACATGTATGAACATTCAGTTTAATAACAGATGAACTCACTTGCCTACTACAGAGAGCCAGAGAAGACAAAGACATGCAGAACAGCAACAAGAAGTGGAATCCTTCAAGATCAGTGGCACACTGTCTGTTTCTCTAAGCAGGGAGCATCATTACTAGTCCCACCCTGCTTGCCCCACATTGATAAGCAAACTATGCTTATAATTTACATGGTACCTGGTCTTGGCCTCTGCCCTACACAATGCCACATTTTGTGGTCACAAAAACACCAGTCAATATTTCCATGTCCCCTTCTTCTTCCTAGCTAACACACACTCATTCAAAAGCATGCTCTGTGCATGGACTTAGATGCGTAGAGCCATGTCTGGTGTGCATGAGCTGGAAAGTATTCCAGGTGGTGTAAGCAGGAAGTGTTGCATGGCCACACCTCTGGAGGGCTTAGAAGTTTGGCTAAATGTTTGGAAAACAGACAAACATGCAAGACCAAAGGCTGCAGAAATAATATGTAGCCAGGTAGCTCCTGTCTTCTGCATTTCCTCATTTAGGTCAGTCACACCAGCCTATTTCATTTAACTCCTTACACTCTTATTTCCCAAACATAAGCACAAACATAATTCTGTTCCATTTCTACACTACAGGAGCTCTCTGAGGTCCTTACCTTGCTTCAGGTCCAGTAGAAATTAAGGATCCTTTCCACTTAGCAACTCACTGCCCTTTAGCTAGAGTCATCAGGTGACCTCCTATGCTTTGCCTGCACTAGGATCCTAATGAAGGAAGAGTGAGAAGGATCTGGAGGATTTGGGCAGCATTTTCACAAGTTGAAGAGCTAATCCTTTCACTGCTTCTCAGAATCTATCTTCTCACCTGGGAATATGAACACAAATTCCTCATCCCTCCCACCTATTGCAAAAGTAAATGTTAAAGGGTAGCACTGTGACCATACCTGCCTAAATCAGGCATAATGCAGGTGTCAAAGCTAAGAAGCACCTGTCTTGAGAGTTGCAGGAAAATCCATGAGGTGGCATGGCTCCTTCTCCCATTCTTCAGTATGGTAATCATCATCACCAAATGCCACAGTAAGAAGTACTTGGACATTTCCTGTGAAGCCTCTGCAGCAGTAAATGCCAGGCAGAGGCCCACTTGCTAATACTGTTGTAGTTTTGCAGGTTTTGAAAAGTAGCCAGCTCATGCCCTTTTCCAGCCTATTTATAATGAAGACAGGAGGTCTGAGAAGTTTTGTTTAATTCCTGTTTGTATTTTATTTTGGAGACAGCAGGAGTTTTTATTCCCCCAGTTTAATAATACAAGGACATTCCATGAACTATAAAGGTGAGAAATTTAAAACTGATCAAACAAAATAGTTTTTCATAAAACACGGGATTAGCAGGAGAACTCCTTGCCACAGAGTCATTCAGGCCAAGAGATTAGCCAGATTCAAAGAGGGGTTGGACAGGTATGTGGCAAACAGGAATATCCAGAGTTTACAGAGTTAATGCTCATGAGCTTTAGGAAAAGATGGTATATCTCCTGCCATGGGTCTAAAGCCAATTTCCACCTGTTAAAAATCAGGATGGGAGTCAGTGGGCAGAGGGAGCATGGGGAGGCATTACCCTGTCTACTACTGTAGGGTTTTTAGTACCTTGCTGTGAAGTATCTGGTGTTCGTCACTGTCCAACACAGGACACGGGACTGTATGAGCTTTGGATCTAATCCAGTCTTCCCTGAACCCATTCCTGGTTTTGATATAACATTTTTGCAGGGAAGGATGGGTATTCTCTGCACAATTTACTGTGAACTCTTAACACTTTAGTCTTTAAGAAAGGCTTCTTTTCCCCCAGGTGTCAGTCACTGAAATCAAGCAGCTGGTACTAAAACAAACAAATAATATTGGTTAAAGCAAAACAAAGAAAGCAAAACAATTGTTTTTATTCTCTTGGCTTGTGTGACATTGTCACTCACTTATTGCACAGCTAGCCAGAGTCTTCCAGTCTGGAGAGGATCTGGATTTCTCAGGTCAAAGACGAGCAGGATTGCATTTTTTAGCCTCTCTCTCTTTTATAAATAACTAGGCAAAAGGAACAAGCCCATTTCCCCTTGTTTACAGACTCTTCTTTTCCTTCCCAAATCCAACTGGTGCACACCACTTTCTTTGTTGTAAACCCTAAAACCAATGTTCTCAATGAATTCAAATCAGCTTTTGAGTACAACTCCCTCCACTGCATTAACTGTCTAACACTTCAAACCTCAGTATTTTAAATGTGTCTTTTAATAAACTGGGTCTTGGCCATGGCCAAAGAGGTAAGAAAATATTATATACAAAGCA